CACTCTGCTTTCAGTTCGGCACGGCTTAATGTTCAGTTTGGTCAACAGGTTTGCACTGACGTATGAGCTACCTGCTCCACTATCAAGCACGATCCGTGTCTGCACACCATTTACTTTGGCCAGCACTGAAGAGTGCAGGGTTTCTTGATGATCATATGCCCCATAGAACCTGTCCGAGGGAGACTTTGACTTGGGTGGAATGGTTGTAAAGGTTCTTTCACAAATAGATGTATGGTGTCTGGCATTACACCTTCCACATCCACGGGATTTGCACTGGGAAACAGCATGTCCAGATTTTGCACAATTAAAACAAAGTCTGTTCTTCTTTAGAAACTCCCTTCTGCTGGCAACATCCAGTATCTTGGTACATTCTGAACTTCTGTGTTGGTGAGAGTTACAGTATGCACAGGGTGCGCAAGGTGGAGGGAACCTAGGCAGTCCTTGATTTGGCCCAGACATAAACATTTTTTCACCTCTTCTCCACTGATTTCCCTGATTCGATCCTACAGGTTTTGTGACATCCTGGTTCTGTGACGACGTTTCAGGTGAAGGATTTCTGTCAGTGTACTTGCGTAGGCTTTCTACAAGCTCCTCCAATCCCCACTCTTCCCATTCATCATCCTTTTGAACTAAAGCTTCCCTCACTGGTCCGAGCTTGTCCATAATGCTGTAAACATAGCTTTTTGCACTTTGCAATTTCTTCATTGTGTTTAAGGCTCTTACAGTTCTAGACAGCTGTTTGTAAAACTCATGGATCTCTTTTACTTTAGTGAGGCTTGTAATGTTTGGAAGCATTTCCAAATCCTTGATCAATGCCTTGAGAACCTTAACGTTTTTACCATAAGTAAGTTCTAGGATCTTTTTTGCTTCTTCATAGCCTTCAACAGTGTGCGGTAAGCCAAGAATGTGACTCTTCGGTTCCCCTTCCACCAGCTCAAGCAAATAATTAAATTTGCTTATCTCAGAAATTTTGGAGTTATCAACTTCTACCACGAACTGATTCCATAATCTGAGCCAATCTTTGTAATCCCCTTTAAATGGTGTAATAGAATACTTCTGTAATTTAACTGCCTGTGGTTTTACTCATTTCCTGTGCAGCCTTTTTTGCATCTAAGGCAAGTTCTAGCTCAAACTTTTTGTTGAACCAATCTTCCTCTTTCTTATGTAATTCCTGTTTCTCTAAATCGCTTAACGCCTCCTTCAGTTTATCTCGTAGGTTTCGCACAGGAATAAAATCTTGTTTACGGGTGTCTGACCACTTTCTTACCTCATCAAAACTAGTATCAGCATCCAACATGGCGTCTTTAACACCGTTCGCAGAATCCTCGAGTGCTTTGTTTATGTCACATATTCTCTCGTAAGCCAAGCGTAAATCCTCTATCACTCCATAGTTAAGTTTTTCCTCAATTTCTCCGACGTAGTAGGTTGCCTTGTTCAATGCCTTCCTGTAATTTCCTTCCGCAAGATCCACCATGTTAATAAAGTAATCTCCCAGTCAATGTCAGTGTTCCTCAATGCAAGATAGTTTCACGCGTCTTCAAGTCAGGTCCTGGCAGGGTCGCCACTTTTGGTGTGGAAAACACGAGTACACACCAAATAGTTCCGAAAATCTTACTAAGTTTAATGTCCACAATCCTTAGTCCTCAATGTAATAACGAAACAGAACAACAAAGTTTTTTCTGCGAACTCGATCAGTCTTCTTTTTTTTCGAACCACGAGGTCCGTAAAACTACTACTCAAAACAAGGCTTGATAAACATGACTTCATGTAACAGTCACGAATGTTCAAACGTTCTCAACAACCGTCAATACATTCGCCTTGTGCTGCTTCTTCTAAGATTTGAACACGAGTTTTCTCTGATCTTTCCAGCTTCTGTTGCGCGTTACGCATTTCCCACGCTGTGGTTAAAACCTCTGAGACTACACAGGACCTCTGTTTACGATAAACTCTGCAATGTCGTTTTTTCCCTCGCACTTTTGGTTGTACGCATAAGCCAACAGTTGCGTGCGAGTTTTTATTTCCTTTGCTACAATTATTTCTGAGAGTTCAAATGAAGACAAGCGCTTTTTCCTTTTTTTACCTTTCGAATCACTTTCATGGCATGTCTAGCTGGTGTCGTCAGAAGGACTTTCATAGAACTCCTCCAAGAATTCCTCTTCATCGTCGTCACTATCTTCAATGTACTTTTTCCGGCAAAGTGAGGCCGTTTCAGTTTTAGGGCCTTTACAATCGGACAAGTAGGGATGACCGTCACTTTCCACAACAACGCCAATTGTCATCTCACTGGATGCAGCGAGGTTGTCGGGTTGCAAACGCAAATCTTCCCTGGCTCCTATTTCAGTTTCTTCGGCACTGGATGTATCCAGACCTTCTTGGTCCAAATCCACAGCTACGTACTCATCCTCCCTTGCGTGTTTCAGCAACTTACAATGGGATGAATTCTGGGATTTAATCTCCCTTCCCCTTTTCACGGTGACCATACTTCCTTTCATGCCTATTACTGAGAAGGGTCGGGGGTCAAATGCTGGGGTGAGAACTTCTGCTTTGCTCTGCTTCAAAAGAACTTGGTCTCCAACCACTATAAGGCTTTCCCGGGCGTTCCGCCTCTTGTGCGCGTACTCTTTCATCTGCCTCTTTTTAGCTGCGTCTCTTTGTCTGATTCGATCGTATGGAATTTCTCCTGGTGGTATGATCCTTTCCGGTAGCTTCCTGCGCAGCTCTCTTAACTTCTCTAAATTCTGATCATGTTCCTTTTGGTTCCTGCCGAATACAAGGACATCGTCACTGATGTTGATGCATCCCTTTATGTCTCGCGTGATTTCTTTGCTGAGGGTTTCCTGGAATATCTCGCCTGCAGATCTCGTACCAAAATTGAGTCTCTTGTACCTCTAGAGACCTACATGTGTCGCAAAAGTGGTGATGTTGCGGCTATTCTCCTTCAGGTCCAGTTGTTGGTACCCATGATTCATATCAAGATGAGAAAATACGGTTGCCCCGTTGAGCTCATTTATGATATCATCAATTTTAGGCAGGACAGTGTGGGTTCGTGGAATGGCTTTATTTGCTTCCCTCAAATCCACGTTCAACCATATTTCATTGCTGGACCACTTCGGCGTTATAACTACAGGGGACACCCACACAGGGGACACTAGGCTTCTCTACCCTCTCAATTATGTCGTCAGCCTCAAGTTTCTCCAATTCCGCTTCCAGCTTGGGTCTTACACTGAACGGTATTCTCCTGTGGACCTGTGGACCTGCGCAACCAGTGTTATTGCGGGATCAAATGCAAATTGACCTTCACTCCTTTCATCTTTCCGATACTGCGGAACAGGTCAGCGCACTCTTTTAACAGATTGCTTGTGATTGTTTCCTCACTTTGGACAGCGTTTGCCACCTTAACAAGACCAAGATCCTCCGCGATCTGGAAGCCTATCAAGGGCTCAGTGTTCGTATGTCCCTTTACAACATGAAACGTAGCAGGGGCGATTCTAGTGTTCGACTCAACAATGGCCTCAAATTTTCCCACGACCTTCAGTGGCGCCGACGGGTTTTCGTTCGGTTAGTATGCACACAAAACACTTGATGACCTTCTCAATGTCACCTTACTGGCCAGTAACCTCTTCAACATTATCTCGTCCATTGCATTTACTGTGGCCCCTGTATCCACCAGCACTTGAAATTCACGATTTTCCACTGCCACACTGCTCACGGGCCTGTGGCCCTGATTGTGTCTGACCGCCCCAACTTTCTCAATACCGCAAAGGGATTCCGCATCGCTACTATCCGAGTCCCTTTCAACTGCTTTCAGCACACCCTTGTCTTCTTTTCCTTTCATCCTACATCATTTGGCGAAATGATTCATTTTGTTACATGTCAAGCATTTCTTCCCCCAGGCTGGACATTTCATCCTTCCTGCAGTGTGCGGAAAAGTTCCACCACAAGAAAAACACACCTTTTCAGCAGTCTTGCTTTGTGCCTGTTGTCTGAGCATATATAACTTCTCCTCTGGATTGGTGTCACTTCCATGGCTTTGTTGGTCTATTTCAATTCTTTCCGCTTGCTTATCTGACATTTCCTGGGCTCTTGCAAAACCCAGGGCCTTCATTAGGGTATGTGGTTTGCTAAGCAACAGTCGTCTGACCCACCTCGATTTTCCTTTATCTATTAACTGCAGCTGAATTTCAACATCACGCCAATCTGTCAGAAAATCATATGGACCCACTGCTAGTTTCAGGCGAGTAGCGCAGTCATTGCATGACTCCTCTTTCTCTTGAGTTAGCTGCCGAAACTGGTACATGTTGAATAGGTGATGTTTTCTTGGTTCAAAATATTCCATGAGTTTGTCTTCTAGGGTGTCAAAAATATCTTGCACTTATGGTCCTGCACAATGTAAAAATAAAGCTCTTTTCCTTGCTTTATCCTTTATGTTCACTGCCAATGCATAAACTTTAAATCTTTCCACATATTTTCTGAAGCGCAAACCCACCGAAGTTGGATCCATGTCGGGGTCGAATGTTCTGTAATTCAGGTTTGTATCGAAACCTTCCATTTTCCAAGAAATAAATCAACTCCTTGTCACCAATGTGAAGTTGCGAATTGAGCTTAATAAACGGTTACATTATACGCCCTTAGTTCCGTTAATAGTCCTCCTACTAGTCCGTGCTACACTGTCCTATATGCAAATAAAGTCCCTACTTTCTTAGAGTGTTAAAGGGAACCTCCACTCTTTAAGAAAATATCACCCAAAATGCTCTTTAAGTCTCAAAAAGGAGATTTTTCGCACAGAAAAATGTTCTTTCACTTAAGATTTTTCTTTTTGGCCTCTCAAGAGAGGTCTTCAAGACGAGTTCGAACTTCCCGCGATCGTCATTTTCATCGGAGCGCAAGGCTCTCTGGGGTGATGATGTAAGATGGTTGCTCGTCCAGGTTGCCAGGTTGTCCGGACGCATAGGTTCTGCTCATCTTTTTGTAAACAAACTTCGTATCGTGATTTTAAAACGATGTCCATTCAGCCGTATCAGCTTGAACCTGAATATTCTTCCAGTGAGCAAGGAGAGGAAGAACAGATTGATTCAGGGGAGGAAGAAGTCTCTTCTTTATATTCTTCGAGACTTGAAAGTCGCCGGACGGACCTGTCTTGGTGTGAATGTGAGAGATGTCTGATGCCAAGTGAAGTTGAATGTGTCTGCTGCAAAGAACTTCCTTTTTTGTCACAACTGGTGGAAGGTTTGTTGATCCCGATATAATATATTTATTTAATCTCACTTTTTGTTTTCTGAAGGGGTGCCAGGAACAGTATGACAATTTACGAATTAATTGTATTCTTAGTGGGTTCCCGGCCCATAGTCTCATAGTTGTTTCCGTCCATCCCTGAATCTCTCGACCGATTTATCGCTCATTTCTGAATAAAATGCACTTGTTTACTATCGCAAATCGTCCGAGAAACAAATATCTAGTCAAAATTCGACACAGTTACTCGGACACAAGTGAGAATGTAATCTTCTTTTGTTTACATATTTAGAAGGCTACAGATCAGAATTTTTGATGGGTTATGGAATATTCCGTAAACAACAAGAGGCAGGAGGTACATAGCATCTTGAACTGAATAAAGTTTTGTTTCTAATGTTCTAGGCTTGACATGTGTCACTCAACATGAAAGCTTTCGAGCTGTTTGTTTAAATGAAGATGTGTTGTGGACAGCACTAGCAAGTCTGCACGACAGAGAAAATGCTGGTCTTCCAGACAGACAGCAATTGCCCAACAGGTATTGACATGTTATGGTTGTTTTCGTGGCCGTGAAATTTTAGTACAAAGTTGAGTTAATGCCAGTAAAATATTGGATGTTTCTTTTCGTACAATCTAATTGATATTTTAAGCACCTGCAGTTGTCTGATCAATAGTAATACATGTTAATTTGTCTGAAGCATGAAATGAACTGCCCTGTGCTTAAATAGATGACTTTGATCTATGGACGAGAGATGATTTGTGCTTTTTGGCGAAAAAGATGCACCATGCAACAGTTGGTCATTTATTGTTGTGGTTCTAAAAAAGGTTCTTAGGGGAGCGGGTGCTTAAAAGAGAAGGGTCTTAAATTGATTATGCTTTGGAAAGGGTGGGGGGGCACTTACTTGATAAGAGAGGATTTGCATTACTATTGACTGCTACCTTGCCTGTTAACAAAACCCACATTAGGTTTTGTTTTTGGGGGGGGGGGGGGGGGGGGTGGGGCACAGTCTCGGTTGGGGTGGACTTGACGTAACTTGAACGTAACTCAGGAATAAACTAGTCAATGTGTAAACAGGTCTGATATCATTAGCAGCAAACCTGTGCATTGTCTCCTATGACATTTGTAAATTGAATGTTGTTTTCTTTAAGGTCATTTCGTTATGCAGCGTATCAACAGTTCACTTGGCGGGCTCATGGCAAAAAATTTGACATGTCATCTCCTCATGTGCAGTAAAAATTATCACGAATACTTTTGCTGCTGAACATGGATATCTTCCTGGCAGTGATGATGATGACAGTGCCTTTGACAGCGAGCTTGAACAAGCATGGAGGGACTTTTTAAATATTTAAAATATTTCCTCTTGTCAGCAATTTGAAATCAATTTATACACATGTACAGGAAGTTTCTGATACCATGAATAATTTTATGGTTCATTTGCATGTAATAATTTCAGTAAATGACTTTTTTTTCCGATGAATATAGATTTACTGGATCAAAAGCCGCCCCCTATCAAACAGAAGAATGCAAAATAACCAGTAACACCAGTCTTGGTTAAATGCCACATTGGGAAGACTAAAACTCTAAAAAATAAATAAACACTGAAGGATTTGATCAAGTAAAAGCGCTAACTTCACAGCCAGTTAGACCAATATAAATAACTACCAAAACTTCTAGTTCTTATCATTGGCTCATTTGATTTCTGATATTTAAAATAATGTTAATAAAACAAATTGACATTCTAACCAATCTATGTCACCCATATTTTCTGCTATTTTTTCATTCTAATCACTGATGCTTATGATGAATTGGAATTATGTATTATTTACTACGTAAAATGTGTTCAGTTGTGTCAAGAAGTCTATTTTTCACATATTATAACAATGTAAACAAGAAACCAGTATAATGTAGTCAATAAAATTATTGACTTTCACAAATCGAAGTAGATGTTTTTTCCTGTTAAATGATTTTAAAGTGACATTTCAAATTATTGCAGAAAATAAAAAACTTGAAATCAGAGAGAAAGTTATGATCCTCAGAGAAATACATGAAAACAGAAGAAAACAGGTCTTGTCACTTTTCCAATACCCAGTGTTAACAATAAGCAACCTTTAGGGGAATATTAACCACCACGTCCACCTTTTGGAGGTTTGTGAGAAAAAAGCGTTGGAATGGCGCCAGTCTTAAGCGATTTAGTCGAATTACTTGACCCCATTAATTTTACTTCCACGAGGTAAGACCTCTTCGAAGTGCTTCGAACACAGACGTGTATATTTGGGCAAGGACGAACAGCATGAATCCACGCTCATCGTATTGTTGCATCATCCGGAAACTTGTGAAAGCGAATTTTGGGATCCTTTTTCCTGTTTTTAGCTTGAAGCGACGCAATGCGGCATTTTGCTGCAAATTTACTTTGAGCATGGGAATCAAGCAACCATCTAATACGTCATCACCCCACAGAGCCTTGCTCGCCGATCAAAATGGTGATCGCGAGAAGTTTGAACTCGTCTTGAAGGCCTCTCTTGAGAAGCCAAAAAGAAACCTCTAGAGCGAGAGAACATTTTTCTGTGCAAAAAATCTACTTTTGGAGACTTAAAGAGCATTTTCGGCAATATTTTCTTAAAGAGTGGAGGTTCCCTTTAACGCTCATTCCGCATCTAATTATCATACATTAAGTCCCTTGAGACCCGACTCTACAACTGCCAGTTTTCTTTTTTCGCTACAAATTTCACACTTATCTGCCCCTCCCCCAAGTCATTTGTTTGTAATCTGGGAGACACGTGACCAAACCCAACCAGGGTCTCTCAACGGGTAGGAGAGATAACTTGGGAACAAGGTTGAAAAAGCTCCAGTAACAATCCTTGCAGCTCAGTTATGAACAAGAAAGGTTAAAGTTAAAAAAAATTCCCAAAAATTGTAAATTAAACGAGACTTACCTGTAAGGTGAAGTTTGATTGAGGTTCTACCAGGTCATCACAGCAGCAGAGATTACATGAGATAGCGCATGCGCATAGCTGGTCAATATTAAAAGCACTGAGTGTCCGTATGTAATAAAAAGAAGACCCAGTAGACCCATAACAGGATATGGGCTGAGTATGAAACCAGGGAGGGTAACAACTGGGAGGGCATGTAATCTCTGCTGCTGTGATGACCTGGTAGAACCTCAATCAAACTTCACCTTACAGGTAAGTCTCGTTTAATTTACAATTCTACCAGGTCATCGCAGCAGAGATTCCATGAGATTTCAAAGCCATATGGACACGAAGACAAAATAAACAAGGAACACCTATAAAACACAACTGGTGTCCTAGTTTATTAACTGTAGTAGAAAAACCAAGACCTAGAAAGCTAGGCTTATACATTAATGCTGGTACCAAGAACAGCTTGGCCAAAACGAGAAACATTATCTTCAATAGGTTTGTTGTAAAACTTACGGAAAGTGCAATCTCCTTTCCAAGACGCTGCCTTAAGAATCACATCTATAGGCACCTGGCATGCATTTGCTTTGCTGGTAGAAGCAGCTCTGGTACTATGGGGTTTGAACACTTCCACATCAATACCAGCCTTGATCATAACATTCTTAATCCAACGTGAAATAGTGTCCCTAGACACGGCCTGGTAGGGTTTAACCAAACTAATAAAGAGTCTGGTTTCTCCACCTCTAAGGGGTGCAGTACACTTAATGTATTCTGAGAGAACTGAGTAAACGCAAACCCTGCCATCTGCTGGGAAGGCAGGAAGGATAAGCTCTGGTAGATTCCTGCCTGGAGCTGACTGCTTAACAATATCCTTAATAATAAATTTATAGTGGTCAGTATTTTTCTGCATACTAGTAATATCCATAAGATGGAAAGACTGACATCGCTGACCTGTAACCAGTGCTATTAACATAACTAGCTTATGGGTAAGCTCTTTAAGGCTTATGCTTTCCAGCGGTGGAAATGTTTGAAGGTATGTCAAAACGCTTGTGGGATCCCAGACCGACTGGTATGTAGGTATACTAGGCCTATTGTTAAATACAGCCTTCAAAAAACGGTTAACTAATGGGTGAGAACCCACAGTTTTGTTATCATCTAGGTGGATAACAGATGATAGAGCACAACGAGCAGTATTCAGGCTACTGTAGCCGAGTCCACTATCAAACAGTTCAGTTAAGAAATCTATGACTTCTGATATAGCTGGTTGAATGGGATCAGTATTCCGTCCACTGCTGAATGTGGTCCACCGCTGTAAGTATGTTCGGTACTGTTTCTGGGTTCCTTCCTCCAGGACTGCAGAATGAGCTCTTGAGCCCTCGCTGAAATGCCTTTATTTTGGAGACTTTCCTGATAAGTGACATGCCATCAGCAGCAGTTTTGCCCCCAATGGGTGTTCTTTCCCTGGGTTGAAGGGGAGGTGTACGATGTTGGGACGATTGGGGAGTAGCACTGGGGTCTGCACCAGAAGTCTTGTTAATTTGGGAAACCAGGACTGTGTTGGCCAATGAGGGGCTATCATGATTGCTTCTGCTTGATCCTCCTCCACCTTTTGTAGAACTTGTGAAATTAAACTGAAGGGAGGAAAAACATAGTTATATTGTGTTCCCCAGTCTAATGTAAAAGCATCTACTCCAACAGCATTAGGATCAGGGATCCATGAAACATAACGAGATAGTTGATGGTTAAGTCTGGATGCGAATAAATCAAGGTCAGGTTTGCCAAATAAGGAAAAAATTTCTGACACCACTGGTTGGTCCAGTTTCCATTCTGTTTTGTCATTAAAAACCCGGGAAGCAGAGTCTGCTTGATATTCTCGACCCCAGGGATATGTGCAGGTGTGATCCAGATATCTCTGTCCTTGCACCAAAGCCATATGTCTCTGGAGATATCATTACAAGGGGTAGAATGGGATCCCCCCATGTTCCTCAGATATGATACAGTGGTGGTATTATCAGACAGAACTTTAATGTGGCAGTGATGTTCTGAAGGGCATAAAGCCTTGAGGCCCCAAAAAACAGCGAGGAGCTCTAGGGCATTAATATGCAGTTGAGCTTCTTCCGGGGACCACCTGCCACCTGTGGAAATCCCATCTGAAAAGGCTCCCCCACCCTTGGGTAGAGGCATCTGTTTTGAGTTCTCTTGTGATTTTCCCATGACTAATCTTTCTTTTGCATGTTTTGGCATGGTTCATCCACCAGACTATGTCATTTTTTGCTGTTTCAGACAACATCATAGGACTTTCAAAATTCCAGTTGGAATTTTTTAGAGCAGTTGATTTTTCAATCTCAAGTTGTCTGTAAAAAGTCTAGCATACTCTACACAGGGAAAAAAGATACCATAATGCCCACTAAACGAGCAACCAGTCTAACAGGAACAGATGTAGATTGCAATACCTGATGTGCTGAGGCAAGTAGCTTGCCAAAAATTGTGATCTGTTATGCTAACA